TGTCCAGTGGCTAACGCGACGATCTGGAGTTTTGAGACTCTCTGATGACGGGTTCTATTCCCGCCCGTGGTATGGTTTGTTTGCAATCGTGTCATTACGATTTCGTAAGTCATGTCAACTCTACAATGCCTCTGAAAGCTTATTACACAAGCCATGGTTGCTTGTCTTTAAACAATTCACTTAAAATTCCTTGAGAATGGCAAACAGATCCACACAACCACCTATATCCACTCACCTATTTATGATATATCCATGCAATATATATATTATATATATATATATATATATATATATATATATATATATATATATATATATAATATATATATATTATATTTTATATATATATATACATATATATATATAGTAATATATATATATATATATATATATATATATATATATATATATAATATATAATATATATATATATATATATATATTTTTTATTATCACACCGGCCGTTTTCCCACCAAGCAGGGTGGCCCGAAAAAGAAAAACTTTCACCATCATTCACTCCATCACTGCCCTTGCCAGAAGGGTGCTTTACACTACAGTTTTTAAACTGCAACATTAACACCCCTCCTTCAGAGTGCAGGCACTGTACTTCCCATCTCCAGGACTCAAGCCCGGGCCCTGCCGTTTCCCTGAATCCCTTCATAAATGTTACTTTGCTCACACTCCAACAGCACGTCAAGTATTAAAAACCATTTGTCTCCATTCCCTCCTATCAAACACGCTCACGCATGCCTGCTGGAAGTCCAAGCCCCTCGCACACAAAACCTCCTTTACCCCCTCCCTCCAACCCTTCCATAGGCCGACCCCTACCCCGCCTTCCTTCCACTACAGACTGATACACTCTTGAAGTCATTCTGTTTCGCTCCATTCTCTCTACATGTCCGAACCACCTCAACAACCTTCCTAGCCCCCTGGACAACAGTTTTGGTAATCCCGCACCTCCTCCTAACTTCCAAACTACGAATTCTCTGCATTATATTCACACCACACATTCCCTCAGACATGACATCTCCACTGCCTCCAGCCTTCCCTCGCTGCAACATTCATCACCCACGCTTCACACCCATAAAGAGCGTTGGTAAAACATACTCTCATACATTCCCCTCTATGCCTCCAAGGACAAAGTTCTTTGTCTCCACAGACTCCTAAGTGCACCACTCACTCTTTTTCCCTCATCAATTCTATGATTCACCTCATCTTTCATAGACCCATCCGCTGACACGTCCACTCCCAAATATCTGAATACGTTCACCTCCTCCATACTCTCTCCCTCCAATCTGATATTCAATCTTTCATCACCTAATCTTTTTGTTATCCTCATAACCTTACTCTTTCCTGTATTCACCTTAATTTTTCTTCTTTTGCACACCCTACCAAATTCATCCACCAATCTCTGCAACTTCTCTTCAGAATCTCCCAAGAGCACAGTGTCATCAGCAAAGAGCAGCTGTGACAACTCCCACTTTGTGTGTGATTCTTTATCTTTTAACTCCACGCCTCTTGCCAAGACCCTCGCATTTACTTCTCTTACAACCCCATCTATAAATATATTAAACAACCACGATGACATCACACATCCTTGTCTAAGCCTACTTTTACTGGGAAAAAATTTCCCTCTTTCCTACATACCTAACTTGAGCCTCACTATCCTCGTAAAAACTCTTCACTGCTTTCAGTAACCTACCTCCTACACCATACACTTGCAACATCTGCCACATTGCCCCCCTATCCACCCTGTCATACGCCTTTTCCAAATCCATAAATGCCACAAAGACCTCTTTAGCCTTATCTAAATACTGTTCACTTATATGTTTTCACTGTAAACACCTGGTCCACACACCCCCTACCTTTCCTAAAGCCTCCTTGTTCATCTGCTATCTTATTCTCCGTCTTACTCTTAATTCTTCAATTATAACTCTACTACCATACACTTACCAGGTACACTCAACAGACTTATCCCCCTATAATTTTTGCACTCTCTTTACCCCTTTGCCTTTATACAAAGGAACTATGCATGCTCTCTGCCAATCCCTAGTACCTTACCCTCTTCCATACATTTATTAAATAATTGCACCAACCACTCCAAAACTAATCCCCACCTGCTTTTAACATTTCTATCTTATTATCCCATCAATCCCGGCTGCCTTACCCCCTTTCATTTTACCTACTGCCTCACGAACTTCCCCCACACTCACAACTGGCTCTTCCTCACTCCTACAAGATGTTATTCCTCCTTGCCCTATACACGAAATCACAGCTTCCCTATCTTCATCAACATTTAACAATTCCTCAAAATATTCCTTCCATCTTCCCATACCTCTAACTCTCCATTTAATAACTCTCCTCTCCTATTTTTAACTGACAAATCCCATTTGTTCTCTAGGCTTTCTTAACTTGTTAATCTCACTCCCAAAACTTTTTCTTATTTTCAACAAAATTTGTTGATAACATCTCACCCACTCTCTCATTTGCTCTCTTTTTACATTGCTTCACCACTCTCTTAACTTCTCTCTTTTCTCCATATACTCTTCCCTCCTTGCATCACTTCTACTTTGTAAAAACTTCTCATATGCTAACTTTTTCTCCCTTTACTACTCTCTTTACATCATCATTCCACCAATCGCTCCTCTTCCCTCCTGCACCCACTTTCCTGTAACCACAAACTTCTGCTGAACACTCTAACCCCTACATTTTTAAACCTACCCCATACCTCTTCGACCCCATTGCCTATGCTCTCATTAGCCCATCTATCCTCCAATAGCTGTTTATATCTTATCCTAACTGCCTCCTCTTTAGTTTATAAACCTTCACCTCTCTCTTCCCTGATGCTTCTATTCTCCTTGTATCCCATCTACCTTTTACTCTCGTGTAGCTACAACTAGAAAGTGATCTGATATATCTGTGGCCCCTCTATAAACATGTACATCCTGAAGTCTACTCAACAGTCTTTTATCTACCAATACATAATCCAACAAACTACTGTCATTTCGCCCTACATCATATCGTGTATACTTTTTTATCCTCTTTTTCTTAAAATATGTATTACCTATAACTAAACCCCTTTCTATACAAAGTTCAATCAAAGGGCTCCCATTATCATTTACACCTGGCACCCAAACTTACCTACCACACCCTCTCTAAAAGTTTCTCCTACTTTAGCATTCAAGTCCCCTACCACAATTACTCTCTCACTTGGTTCAAAGGCTCCTATACATTCACTTAACATCTCCCAAAATCTCTCTCTCTCCTCTGCATTCCTCTCTTCTCCAGGTGCATACACGCTTATTATGACCCACTTCTCGCATCCAACCTTTACTTTAATCCACATAATTCTTGAATTTACACATTCATATTCTCTTTTCTCCTTCCATAACTGATCATTTAACATTACTGCTACCCCTTCCTTTGCTCTAACTCTCTCAGATACTCCAGATTTAATCCCATTTATTTCCCCCCACTGAAACTCTCCTACCCCGAATATGTAAAACTGATCAATTAGCAAGAACTCATTTAAAATTAATTCCTTTCTGAAATTTTCTTTTATACGTTTAAAGATATATTTTTTCATTATTGTTAATGTAAAAATTTATAATTTTGCTCCAAAAGAATCTTAGAAAACTTACCTAATCTTATTGTAACAAGCGCAATTTATTTTAGCCTAACCCAACTAAATATATTTTAGATTTGTTTACAATAATTTAATACTAAACAAACACAGTGAAATATATTTTTTTCGTTAGGTTGAGAATGATTTTGGCGAAATTATTGCATACACAAATTTTCACTTGTCCTGTTTGGCAAGATGAACGTTGCTATTTAAGCCAAGATCGTAAGTTCTGCCTATTCGGCACGACATGTATATATATATAAAATATATATATATATATATTATATATATATATATATAATATATATATATATATATATATATATATATATATAAAATATATATATATATATATGCGCTTTATATGCATCTTCTCTGTTTCCTGAGGGTGTGAAGCATGGGTTGTAAATGCTGAAGCAAGGAGGAGGCTGGAGGCAGTGAATTTGTCGTATCTCAAGAAAATGTATGGTGTAAATGTTATGCAGAGAATACGTAATGTAGAAATTAGAATGAGGTGTGGAGTTACTAAAAGTATTAGTCATAGGGCTGAAGAGGGGTTATTGAGGTGGTTTGGTCATTTAGAAAGGATAGAACAAAGTAAAATGACTTGGAGAGAGTATAAATCTGTCGGGAAAGGAAGGCGGGGTAGGGGTCGTCCCAGGAAAGGTTGGAGGGAGGGGGTAAAGGAGTTTTTGTGAGCTAGGCGCTTGGATTTATAGCCAGCAAGCGTATGGGAGCGTGTTAGATAGAAGTGAATAGAGGCAAATGGTTTTTGGGACCTGACGAGCTGTTGGAGTGTGAACAGGGTAAAATTTTGTGAAGGGCTTCAGGAAAACCGGTTAGCCAGACTTGAGTCCTGGAGATGGGAAGTACAGTGCCTGCACTTTAAAGGAGGGTTTTGGGATATTGGCTGTTTGGAGGACGTCTGAGCTGTCATATTTGAGCGCCTCTGCAAAGACAATCATTATGTATTAATGATAGTGAAAGTGCTGAAGGATGATGAATGTTTTTTCTATCGTTTTGGGTTTTTCTTTCTTTTTGGGTCACCCTGCCTCGGTGGGAAACGGCCAACGCGTTAAAAAAATCTCTGAAATACAAAATTATATATAACTTTAAAAAATATTTAGGGCAGCCATTAGTGATTTTCGCAGGTTCTAGATTCATTAGCTCCTCTGGGAATTTAACCCCTGAAAATTTGTAGAGCTAACTGTACTTCAACTATTGAACATGACACATTTTATACCCAAAGGTTCAAAGGCACTTCCTACGTGTACTGAACAGTAATAATATAACTATATCATAGTAGTCATAATAAATTAATTTGATTTTTATACATTAAATTATTTTCTTATCGGCTTTACTTTTATATCAATAGGGCTTCCAAGGTGATGGCTTCTTTTGTCAGTCATCAAGGTCGTGTGAATCAGACCCTTCAGTGTGCCATCCCCAGGCTGCTTGTCTGCCTGATCGATCGTCTCCATTTGGTTTCTCATGTAGATGTCGTGCTGGCTTTACTGGTGATGGATATACTTGCCAAGGTGAGCTTTAATTACTGGGGTGACTGTTCTGTTCACAAAGGAAGAAATTTTTATCAGTAATTACTTTTCTATATACAGAAGTCAACATCGCTTCTCTTTGTGAATGATATTTTTTTGTATAAAAACGAAGAAGTAATGGAAATTATGCCATAGAGCTTTTCGTATATTGTAGAGGTCATAATTAATTTATTTTAAAATAAATGTCTAGAAAATTTAATTTATTTTTGTTATAGAAGCTGCATTATAACTACTTTTTAGTGGTCATTTATATTTCTTGTCTTCATTAGAGGCACCAGATCACGAGAAAAATCTGCTACTCCTCAACCAAGGATTATCTCTCCTTCGAATGCCTGTTGATTTACGATCTGGAGGTGGCTTACCTATCCACGTGGATCCCTTTATGACTGCTGTGGGTGAGTGTTAAGAAAATCTGCTGTTCTCCTTAAACCGGAAAACAGTATGCACATAACCGTATCACATCTTAACATTCTGTCTTTCAGAGATTGCTCAAGATGAGGAAGCTGAAGTCCATACACTTTTGATAAGAACTGTGCATCAGGAGTCATCACCTTGACATGGCCTTGATATGACCTATGATATGGCCTTGGATGCACTGGAAGAAAATCAGAATGCAGATGTAATATACACAGACTTTGCAAAAGCCTTTGACTAATGCGATCATGGCGTAATAGCCCATAAAATACGTGCTAAAGGAATAACTGGGAAAGTGGGGAGATGGATCTTCAACTTCCTAACAAATTGAACACAAAGAGTAGTGGTCAACAGAGTTAAATCGGAGGCTGCCATAGTGAAGAGCTCTGTTCCACAAGGCACACTACTCGCCCCCATCTTATTCCTCATCCTCATATCAGACATAGACAGAGATATACACCACAGCACTGTATCATCCTTTGCGGATGATACTAGGACCTGCATGAGGCTGTCATCTGCTGAGGACGCGGTTAACCTCCAAGAAGATATAAACAAAGTTTTCCAGTGGGCAACGGTAAACAATATGATGTTCAATGAGGACAAATTCCAACTACTCCGTTATGGAAAACTGGAGGAGATAATAACTAGAACAGAGTATACTACAGACTCTGGCCATACAATAGAGTGGAAAAATTATGTAAGGGACCTGGGAGTAGTAATGTCTGAGGATCTCACTTTCAAGGATCACAGCAGTGCCACGATCGCAAGTGCAAAGAAAATGATAGGATGGATAATGAGAACGTTCAAAACGAGAGATGCCAAGCCAATGATGATCCTTTTCAAATCGCTTGTTCTCTCTGGGCTGGAATACTGCTGTACATTAACATCTCCATTCAAAGCAGGTGAAATTGCAGATCTAGAGAGTGTACAGAGATCCTTTACTGCACGTATAAGTTCTGTCAAGCACCTTAACTACTGGGAACGTTTGGAAGCACTTGACTTGTACTCGTTGGAACGCAGGAGGGAGAGATATATCATAATCTACACTTGGAAAATCCTGGAAGGAATGGTCCCGAATCTGCACACAGAAATCACTCCCTACGAAAGTAAAAGACTGGGCAGGCGATGCAAAATGCCTCCAATTAAAAGTAGGGGCGCCATTGGTACACTAAAGGAAAACACCATAAGTGTCCGGGGCCCAAGACTGTTCAACACCCTCCCATCAAGCATTAGGGAAATTGCCAATAAGCCCCTGGCTGCCTTCAAGAGAGAGCTGGACAGATACCTAAAGTCGGTGCCGGATCAGCCGGGCTGTGGCTCGTACGTTGGACTGCGTGCGGCCAGCAGTAACAGCCTGGTTGATCAGGCCCTGATCCACCGGGAGGCCTGGTCATGGACCGGGCCGCGGGGGCGTTGATCCCCGGAATAACCTCCAGGTAACCTTACAGACCAGGGGTGGGCAAGTTCTTCGACAAGAAGAACCACATATAATACTTTTGATACATTTTTGAATTTTCAAGAGCCACAGAAAATATTTTAAAATTGTATTTATAATAATAAAAAATACAATTATACAGTAATCCTATTCTTCAGAGCAGAAAATGTTTCATCTCTGCTCGTTGAAGATTTTGGTTGAATCTTCATTTTCACAGTTAACAGTTAGGATGACAAAGTTGCCCTTAAAAACTCAGTGAGGAGGTTGTTAGTGAGGATAGCACGATGTTTTGACTTGATAAATTTCATGACAGAGAGGAGAGATTTACAACAGTAAGTTATCCCAAAAACAGAGGGTAGTTGGAAGTCCGTTTTCTGAAGATTGGAATACTTTGCTTCTGGTATTTGTTTCCAAAAGTCAGAGTTGAGCTTTTATGTGTTAACTTAAACCACATCTTCCTGCAGTTCAAGCTCTGTTTTTATTGAAGCAACATCCGAGGCAAAAGGTGCAACAACAGGTCATCCATCGTTGAAGATATCAGTCACTAAAGGATCCACGAGAAATTCAAAACATGGCTTTAACTTTTAAGTTTATGAAACCTGATCTTAAAATCATTATAAAATGTTTCAAGGTTTCCTGCGTATTGTTTCAATTTACTAACCTCAATTTCAACATCAGGAAAAGCAATTATTCTTATTTTAAGGTTGGGAGTTATAAAATATATAGACTGGAGCTGAAACGTATTGTATACAGTTTGAAAAACTGAAGCTTATAAGTTTTGATTATATTTAGCTGAAGCCAGCATAACACAAACTTCACTTTTTCACTAATTTAATGTCACATTTTCTTAAAACGTTCCTAACAAGTGAGAGAGAGAGCATGAAACAGGAAGCTTTGTTTTACTGCTGCAGTGTTGCTACAGTTCTTTAACCCGTTATTTCTAATTTTGGTAGTGTTGTCTCCATGAAAAATTATGAAACTGCTCATATGAGCTTATGCGTTATTTTTAAATGATAAAGTATAAATAATTTGGTATGACATTCACACTAAATTTAATACGCCAAATTTGTACTGCTCACAAAGTGCTGTAAGGCCCCCCCCCAAAAAAAAAAAAAAAGTACTAGGGGTACACTTATGAACTGAGAGAGAGGAGAGTCAGAACTGGCACATGTCAGATTCAGTTAACAATCCTTAAAAGGAGTCTCTACTGAAAGTAGAAATTATTGAGAATACAGAAGGCATAGCAAGGGTGACAGTATGCTGAAAGAAACAGAGACTGAATAAATTCTACAAAGTCATTGAGCGATACATTCACTCAATATGTTTATAACAATCAGCAACACCTGACTGATCTGACAGTGAGATGCTGGGCATCTCTTAATGCGGTGATGTGCCAGTCTCTTGTAGCTAATACAGTCATGTGAAAAAGTTTTTCGACACCGAATAACGATGAAATGAGGTTGATCAGTGAGTTAAACTCAGGCTTTATAACAACAGTTTGATTGTCACTGATTCGGACCAGCGTTATTGCCATCAGTCCCAGATGTACTGAGACTGAACTGAATATATCAGGAAAAGATCAGATCTCAAATGAAAAGTGAAAAGTCCTGAAACACAAAATATTCAGGGAGACTCTGCAAGTTCATTTCCTTGAACACCAAAATGCTCAGAAAAAACGTGTCTTTGCACTCGCTGACGAAGTACCGCAGGTAGTGTAATAAGTGAAGCACGATGGAAGCTAGTAGTCAATGCTCTGAAGTGCAAGTGCGCAATTCTGAAAAGATTATCTATATTCTAGCAATACATCGTGCCCTCCCTCTACTTTATGAAGTAAATCTTACCTGAACAGGAAAAGGTGTGATGAACCTCAGCACAATTCAAATACTGTGAAATCAACAGATTGCTAAGTTCATAGTCACGGATAGAAAATGTGCATATAATAGCGTGAACTATGCATGAACAACAATATTTCAGTGTCTGAAGCGCCAACACTTACCACACCATTGTCAAGCAGCGACCAGCTAAAGAGACCATGGTTCGCAGCTGACCACGGTAGCTAGGAAACGTTGCTGGGCATTTTCGTACAACGCACGGAGGGCAAATAAAATGATAATTTTCGAGGATTAGTAGCTATTGTATTAGGGCTCATTAGTAAAGAAGCATCAGTGCCTCTCAAAGTATCAGTAACATTTATTGTTCCATTTGCCACATGTTTTTAATTTTCCCCACACTATATGGCCTTGATACTAAGTAAGAATTCTTCTTACTGCTTATTTAATTTAAGAATCTTAACTTCTAGCTATAGTGCTCTTTTCTTGTGTTTTGATAACCACCACTGCCATATTCCGATACCTCTTATTTTTATTCTCATGTCAGGGATCACATACCTCTACTGCTTATGTATCAAATATTAGTCCTGAACTTAACGTATTAAACAACGTCTCTGTTGCCTTGTATAAGTTCACACCACAACAAGCTCAAAATTATGTGAACCAGTTCATTGAAGACTTGAAGAACAATGCAATACACACGCCCCTACCAAACCTGCCTGCTGTCCCCTTTATCGCCACCAAGCGCTTCGCTGATGGATTAAACCTTGGTTCTGTTTCTATTAATGAAGACACTCCTATTCTTCACGTATCCTCACTTTCCCGCTCTCCAGACCATGGAGCTGAGTTCTTCTCGAGGATGAGGAACGGACCACCTCAGAAACTACTACTTTGAGGTTTAAGGACTGATCAAATCATCTTTACCTCGCTACTCCTGCTGTCCCTATATATATTATCTGTATTTAACTGAAAAAGCCTACCGTGTAGGCGAAATGTTTAAATAACAAAGATACCCAACCGTTGCATACGTGTCTTACTCATCTACGTGTTCTTACTGTATACCATTTTCATAATTATAATATATATTCTTGCTGCCCAATACCCTAGACCACTGAGATACCTTCAGTTCTGGATCATATCATGATCAACAAATTAGCATCTATAAATTCAAGTATTATCCTGGAGGGACCATCTGATCTTTACACAACTTTTCTTAAAACTAACAATTCAAAAATCTCGCTTAAAACAAAATATATTTTTTTTTAGATTCCAGAATGATGCTTCATTTAACTGCTATATCGACGTCATTAAGCACAAAATTAAAAAAAAAAGCTGTGTTTTATATTCTGTATAATATACATCGTGAAATAGAAAGCCTGATCAGTGTTACAAAACACTCTCCAGAAACTTTGTCAAGCCATTAACTCCTGGATATCGAAAAGTTGCTGCAATAAAAATGTCACATTAATCCCACATGTGTTCTTTTACCTAATATATTGTAGGTAGTTCTTCCATATTTATTACTAAAGATAGAAACAGTTCCATCTCTCCTTTAAATTCCAAGATATTTTTTTTTATTTTCAGTATGGTATGGAATAATTTATCCCTCGTGGCCGGAGGGTAGAGAAAGAGACTTCTGCATTTCTATCCTTGACTCATTTGCAATGATAATACAGAATAGTTTTTTATCTACAAAGAAGTAGACAGCGGTTCTCAG